CAATCACAGGGATGCCACACCTATGAAAATAACAAAAAAGATGACATATGAAGCAAGTGATGTGTGCTACTCTGATTAAATTTTTTTTCCCATAGCAAGCCTCCTACGAAATATTGTAACTCAGGCATTAGCAAGTAGGGGAGGTGATGTGTGTACTTGATGATAAATAAGATCTTTTTATCACATCCACACAGTTGCTAGATACTTTGTTTCAGCCGGAGCTGGACACAGTTTCTTGCGCAATCACTGTACTCTGCCAAGTCCATCAGATGGCATGATGAAAATGATTATACAAGATGTTGACTTGATCTTGTGTATGGAGGTAGTGGTAAAATTAGCAGAGACAAGGACGCTTCTACCATGACCCCTCATCTGATGAAGGCCTATGGCTGAAAACGTTTGTGACATCTTATTAAGCAAATTTTGCAAATTTATACCTTGTTCCCGAGTTTCATTTTTATTAGACAAAAAGTTATCAACATTACCTAAATCGCATGTGGATTGCCAAGATCTTCTTAACATTATCAGTAGTCAACTCATATGTCTCATCCGGATTACTGACATTCTCAATTCCCATCACCATACATAACTTCTGCAGCTTCTGATCCCTGGCGAATTATAAAGTTGTAAATTATTTTCTGTTCAAATTTAACATGATTTCTTATAATTATTCATGCATCATATTGTACAAAACTCTACAACATCCTTCTACTCAATACTGCATTCATGATTATTGAAACTTTTATTGAAATTGCAAGACTGTATGTATAAAATGAGACAATTGTTCCAGAAAGTGACCCAGACCCAGAAAGACATCTGAGTAGTTTAAGTGACATGAGATTCTTGTTTATCATGGTCTTATACTTTAATTAAGAAAAATATGTTGCACATCAAACACCTTATTATTTACTACTTATTATATTTTTGTTTACTACTACACACATTTCATAACTCTTTATTTAAAATATTATAATCATATTATTTTTACAAACCTATGATCTTTTCCTTTCGTTAAAAACATACTCCAAATAATTTAATTAAGAAAAATATTTTGCACATCAAACACCTTATTATTTACTACTTATTATATTTTTGTTTACTACTACACACATTTCATAATATTATTTTATTATCATTTTTACAAACCTACGATCTTTTCCTTTCGTTAAAAACCGTACTCCAAATAAGGACAGACAAAGCATTATGATTCAATATTCCAGTCTTTATTTTCAATGACGATCTATAAAAAGATACTACCTGTACTTATCTTAAACATATCAATGACCTCTGGTTGTTCCTTTCATGTAAAATTTATTATTTATATATTTAATATTAAATGATCATTAAAGTCTTCATCATTTTATGGACTATGGACTATGAATTTTTTTATTTTTAATTGTTTAAGGCACACGGCCAAGGATATGCCAAACAATGAACTTAATTACTTATCTAATTGGAATATCCTATCAAAAAACAAACGCACAAGATGCTCTACATAAAAATGAGTCTAATTATATGAGGCTTGGGGAGTGGAGTTTGATCGTGGAAAAAAAATGTTGATACTACAACAGGAATTGAACCCAAGACCCTGGGACTGGAAGGCATGGTATTTTAACAACCAAGCTACGACTTACCTTGGCAAAGAATCAAAATCTTCTTCCAGATTGACATTTTGAAGTTTAAGACCTCTCATTAGGCTTTTCCTCATCATATTCTGTTGCAACACCTGACCATCTACATCAAGAAGTCTTCCGTTACGATCAATACTGAACCCCATAAATGTCATTGTCACGTGATCATGGTTAAAAAAGATGTATGGATGTGGGCTAAAAGACAGCAGAAAAATAATAATTGTAAATCTTCAATTTCAAATATTTCATTTGATCATCAATATGAACTTAGTACAATGAAATACATTTTTAAGCCAGATCTTTGCAAGAACCAAGGGTATTATGATATAAAGCCAATGGTCATTTATTATAGTATTTGAGAATATAAGTATTGTTTTTGACCAAAGATATGTACAAGACAATAAGTAGCCTCCACCTTGAGAAAGCTCAAACTAAGCATTCTCAAACATCATCGATGCAAAGATTAAGAGTGGGCTAAAGAAGCAAATGTTGGAATGTTAGAATTCAATTCAGTCTTCTATTGCTACAAAAGCCATCGAGGGCTTCTATTTGCCAGAACAGTATGTATAATTTTTTTTTAAATGACAATGTTAAAAAAGACCTGAGGGTCTAAAGGAACTGTGCATCTTGGAGTTGACCTGTGCTAGTGACCTAACCAAACCAACCTAATCAAACAAATTTATCTAGTAAATTTGTATTATTATTTTTATTTTTTTAATTTATTTTAGGCACACACACATGCGCCAAGGATCGCCAATAGTGAATACATCATTGTCTAGCCTGGGTTCCAAGCCCTAATTTTGGGTTACTCACTCTTTATTGTATTTAGTGCGTGCCATACCTAATTTAACTGGTGTCCCATACTCGAATTCTTTTTTTTTTTCGGATTATGGACTGGGCAAACGATTCATGCGTACGATTTCCCACATCAAATTATATGTGGGATATCGTATGCATGACTGATTTTGTAAATTACGTGATTGGCTTACTTCATACATATTAATTAATCTTGGTAAATTTTCAAAATTGAAGATGTGGATGTCTTGACTAGGACAAGCTAACCAGCTCCCTTCTGCCTACCTAGGCCTACTTGAATTAAAACAGTTAGTATATAGTCCTGGTCTGCTGACAACGACTATGGACTGATAACCGTAGGCTATACTTACAGAGCCTTGCTCACCGCTGGCTGCTACACAGATTTAGGCCTTTAGGGTAGAATATTGTTAAAAAAGTAGGCCTCTGTAAGTAAGAACTTAAAAATAAGCCAAGCCTCTACTAGACTAGGCCTACTACTTCTGACTCCAGAGGCTTGAGCCATCCTCCTGGAAAGTTAAAGTGTTGTTGTATTTGTATTTCATTTAGTCTAAGCTTGGCCTAATTGTTTTTGCCATTGCCAAAATTAGTCTTACTAGGGTCTATTCTAAATATTTTAGGCCTGTTTTATTAGGGAGGCCTATTTTTAGGCATGCCTAACTAGTCGACGTGAGTGACTCAGTTTCGTGGCTCTAAAAATATGAACATTTGATTAGTTGAAATTGTTTATTTCGGTCTGCCCATTTATCCAAATACGGAATATAAGATTATGCCAATCTTTTGGAATCCTGGTGCCTGCATTCAGTGTTTTACAAGTCGCTTATTCCGTCTCTAAATTAACTTTCTCTTTGGTGGCGCTGTCCAGAATGAGAAAAATAATAAAAAATATGAGACTTGTGGCAAGGTCTAATCACTGTCAGCTACTTGTAGGTGTCAATCCCTTCCACAAGAACATACACACATCAATGCTTTACACAAACTATATCTCAAGTAAGGCTTAAGTGGGGCACTCACCACGTTGTACCGCGAATCCAAAAATGATCCATTGCGTGCGAGTTGTGGCGTTGCATGCTTAGTGAGTGCGCAGCTTTTAGGAGTAGAGCTGTTTTGGTCGTGAGAAAATTCCTGCAACACTGGCAGGAATCGACCCACAGACACTGGGATTGGAAGGCAAACATCTAAACCAAGCTAATAAACTCCACACCAAATATTTCATCCCACATGATAGGTCAACACAAATCACGAAATCAAAAATAAAATATTTAAAATTTATCATAAGGTAAAATTAGGATGACAGAAGACATTCTATCTTAAAACAGAAACACCAACAGAGATAAAAAAAACCTAACAAAAACAAAACAACAGAATGAACATCAAGAACAGGTAGAAGAACAGGAACCAGATAGAGAAGAAATTGTCAAAAAAGGTGGATATGAATGTAGCTGCTCTGGTACCTGTTTTCCCAACGTCTGCGAAGTTGAAAGGCCTGTAGATTTTCCTCATCTTCTTGGTTGACATCTATAAGAGAACTTTCATCACTCATTTGAAGAGAGGGAGTAGCAAAATCCTAAAAAAAAAAAAAAAAATGTACAAATAATATAATATTGCCCAGACATTCATTGAATAATATAATCTTTGCAGAATAATAACACAAAAATTATCTGTAAATTTTTGTGTGAATGGATGTTTACTGGAAAATTTCACAAATAAAAGATAATTTTTATAGGCAGAAATTAATGCTCAGAGCACATTGTAAATATTAACATATACACATTACCCAGAATGTTGAGCTCTAAAAATGTCTTTTACCTATAAAAAAAAAAAAAAGGCAAGCCAAGTTTGATTTTAAAGTGAATATCTGATTTTGGAACTCTGACCTTTGCCATCTGTAACATGAATTTGACAACAAATGTTTTAAAGCCATTCATGCCTGTGTCAGCTAGCAACCCTGGGTCGCAGAAGACAGAGCCCTCACAGTCTTCTAATTGCTTGTTGAGGAAACAAGCAAAATGAGACAACTCTGCCCATGAAGGATTCGGAAGACCACAATGCCTGAAAATAAAAATCACATGTTTTTTCATTAATTAAATAAAATGATTAAAACTACTTGATTTTATAAAAATTGTCAGCTTCTATTTGAAACTGTCATATCGATATTTCACATTTTGGTGCTTAACAAATACTTGGGTAAAATACCATTTCACAATCAGAAAGAAATGGTAATTCTGATAAAAGAAAAATTAAATTGTCAACTGTGTGGTGATGTAACCTGGCATCCATCAATCGATCCATTCTCTGATCTTCATCTGCTCTCAGTTAGGCATGGCCTGTGTTGTTTTCTGTGAGGTGTCGTGAAAAAATGAGTCTTGTTGTACCCCAGGTCAATTTTTTGTGGCAATTTTCTTTAAAGTATGTTTTTAGACTTCTTGAATTTGAAAATGATTTTACTCCAGTTGTACTCAAGTTAGGAACCTGATTCCAAAACCAAAATAAAAAGCCTATACACTCATCTATCTAAATATATATCATTTTCCTACCACAAAACTCATATTGTCACAACAGCTCACATTTTATATGTTCCGATAATAGGACATTCCAACCAAATTCAGCCTGAGTTTGGGGTTATGCTGTTAACCTGCTACAACTATTCCAGTCAACTGATAAGAGCAACTAGAATCCATTATACGCGATAATTCGCTAAAGGAAGCTACTGTACATTAACACCTCCGTAGCTCCTGTGATTATGGATTCACATAAACGAATGAACGAACGAGCCTGAGTTTGTGGATTGGCATGCAAAAACAAAAACTAGGAAGAAACAGACATTAATATTGAATTCTTTTAACCTTAGAAGGATTTTCAGACAATCCACATGATTTCCATAAACCATATCACTATACTTGAAGGCATCTAGATCAGCATTTTTGTCAAGTCCTGCAAGGTATTGGTATGGTCGTTGAAACCTGGAACTTCTGAACTCTAGGTCATCCATTAAGTGGTCATGAAAACCTTTTGATACAAGATGATACACAGATAAAAAACAATTTTTTATACTTAAGTAAGTTATGAACTTATGAATTTAAATGAGGAAGAATTATATCCCTGTCAATTGACTGTTAAATTAACACCTTTGCTATATTTTTTGTATAGAGAAATAAATTCGCAAGTAATCAATGTGATAATCAGCTAAAACATTTTTTTTATGCTATTTCGGGTTGAAATTTACTTATTTGCTCCTTTTAATTAGATATTCAAACTATTTTTGAGGTTTTTCCCAAGTGTTTGACAGACAGTATATCTTCAAGAGAAAATATTAAATATTACTTGGTATTTCTTGATTTGATTGTTCATCTTCAATTATCAATGTCTCTTTTGGTGGTCGACAAAGAACAGTCGGAAGGCTCTCAAGGAAAGTATTTTTTCTGGACTTGGCCTTAACCTGCCAAAATTCAAATAACATAATAATGAATATTAATTACATTGCTGTCTTTAAAATCACAAAATGTAAGTTACCAGATAATCCATCAACCAATAAAACAATCAATCTTTTTTCATTAGCAACCAATACAATATTATAATACTAACGATTGTAAATCAGACTAAATTATAGGCTGTGGTTCTCACAATAACGTTTAAACTTTAGAATATAATTTTTGAAATCAGAACCGTAAAGTTAAATCATGGTAAAATTAGTGAATATTCAGCAATTGTTTGAAAGTAGTAAATTGAAAGTGTTTTAAGTTTAGTCAGGAGATTATTTTGCTGTCTTGCAGCATCATTATAAGAAATTAAAAGTTGCCAATTATCTTTGTAATGCGGTAAAAATATGATGAAAATCTTGTAGTTAAAGTGATGGACTATGTCACTGAAGAAAGGCAGAAAAATAAAAGAAGAAAAACAGCCTGACAGTGAGTATGAATTGGTTGAAAAAATAAAAAGCAAGCTTTATCACCAACCTAACATACAGTATGTTAAGACTCACTTCTGGATTTTGAGTCGCAACCAGAGATTAAAGAAAAATACTGTAGAGGCAATGTTGGTTAAAAAATTGTAAAACAATACACTTAAACCAACCTTAGCATCTTCCACTCTTGCTTTACAAGCTTTGGTGACCTCTACTAAATAAAGATCATAACAATTTCTGCGCCACACCAATCCATCTTGAGCACAAATTGTGTTCAGAATGAGAAGATTGAATAACAGATGATCTAAACCTCTACAAACCTACAAAAAGAATTTGTATAGTACATGTACAAAAAATAAAACCATATTGATGATACAAATGAATAATGGAAAAAAACTGTGGCATACATTTGCTGGTAGCTGCATGATCAAGAATGTCACAAAGAAGTTTTGATGTGAGGTCGACCAAAATATGTTGAAAATGTATTGAGCTACTGTTAGACTTAGACTCCTCTCTGTGGACAGGAGGTGTCATCAATTGGATAGTGTATCAGCGAGAACATTCCATATTTCCTGTGATCTGAAATCAGTTTACCCAGCTCAGGTCACCGGGACTGGAAAGTATACGGCCTAAAGCCAAGGCCAGCAAAGGCTCTCCTAAAGGCAAGATAGGCCCAGGGTAACTAGTGAGCTACTCCCCCACAACCAAAAACTTAGAGTCAAGGTTTTGCTCACGTCACATGGCACAACCTGTCTGTATGAACAACATGTCATGCTTGACAACATGTCTCTATCAAATAAACACGAGAAGGATGATGTTTATTCATGCAAAACGATAGGCAAGCTTGGCCGATCCTGGTATTTTCTTTTATGCTCAAGATGTAAGGGAAATTTCTGCATATTATGGGTTTATTCAGGTAACGTAATATACAGTACATAGACTAGACTAGATAACATAGACTTTTCGGTTAAGTTTTTCACAGCTGGAAGCGAAATACTTTGGGTATTTTGAAATATATTTTAAAAAAATCTTTGATATATAATGTGTAAGCTTTAATGACAGTTACAAGGCTTGTTTTATACCTTCAATTTTTCTCATCCAACAAAAAGTTTTCTACAAGATACTGATAAAAAAAATATTTAAAAACTTGCTACACACATTTGGTGACACATCCAGGTGAACAATTCGTGAAAAGCGATTATCCATTTCTTGTATCTGACTGATCAGAGTCTTTGCAACATCATGTTCTTGGACAGTTGTTGTCTGCAAAGGAACAGTGATACAGCAATCAAGGTGTCGGCCATCTCTCTGAAGTTCTTCGTTGTACCTTTGAATAAGCAATGATTTTCCCACACCTGGTCTATTCGAAGAGATACACTGCACACATGTTCTACAAAAAGTTCCAGAAAAATGTATAAGTATATTGCATTTATAAGTACTCTTAATTCTTGACTAAACTGCAAATAATTATTTACAGGATGGATATGCCAGTCAATATGAGGCTTCCAGAATATTTCCTTTTGTTAATTTGCCACTGCAAACTTAGTGATCTAGTGATATTCAACTCTACCAATGGAATCATATTTCAATTTTGTTTACACCAAGAATGAAACAAGCATAAAAAACATTTCTGATTTGGAAGGAAATTCTTTGTTAAAATAGACCGAATTACCAAATCACCAAATCTAGTATTGTGGGTGTAACATCAAAACATACAGCTAGGTGGCAGTTTTTTTACACAATAAAGCCTCTGCTCAAATAAATGTTGACTGTCTTTAAACTCCCCAAACTTGCTTATTTGTACATTTTAACATAAATTAAATTTTCGAAAAGACTTGGTAAATGTTTCTGAATAAACTCTTAAAATTTTGAGCTGTTAAATTTGAAGTGGAGTGAAAGTAACATATGGAAAGCTTGATCTCTTGAATCTATGAATCATTCAAAATGTTATACATTGTTATAAAAACATCTTCTATGCTATAATATCTTTGTTTCACTGCAGGTAAGTTTTCTAAATTTGAGGCTTGATACATAACGCTGATTCGTTATATACGCCTGGGTTAGACAATTCTATTATTTTTTGTGAGTAAGTTCAATTACAAATCTGGCTTATTTCAGTTCATCCAGGTATCTCACTCATAGACAATATAAATACTGAATGTCAGGATCAAACCTGTCATTTGGTAGCCTGACTGCCAGTTGCAATCTCTGATTGGTCTGCTGAACTTGTTGAATGAATTGCATATGCAAGTAGTCTTGGATTTCCTCACTTTCTCGGCAAGTTGGTTTATCAGATGAGATGCGGCCTGAGTGTAAAGCCTTGATCACGTGTGACTGATGTTCTCTTTCTGCATTACAAACAATGACAAGCTTGTAGCCTAAAATATTAAAACAAAATTTAACAACATTATTAAATATTTTTATCTTTATAAACTACAAGGTTGAAGATGACCACAATAAACAGCAAGAACAACAGTAACAAGTCAGTAACCTCAAATATTAAAACAAACAAAAATTAACAGTACATATTATATTATACAATATTCTCTTTTCATAATACAGTAATAAATTTGACAAAGCAAGAGCAAAAACAACAATCCAGCTAGTCAAGAACAGATGTGATTTTAATTAATCTTACCAGACTTCCCTTCCATTAGCTCATGAAGTTTCTTTACAGCATCAACACTAACATCATAATCCAAAGCATCTGCATTCACAAGGCAGTAAGTTTTCGCCTTGTTACCATTTAATGCTCGTCGCCACAACAAAACAACCTGGCAATGCAAATTTTGATTTTGTTTGTGATATGATTAAAACTATACATTTTTACTACGATTTGCAAATACATTACACCAGATTTCTGCCAGCTGCATCAGGGACCAACATAAAAAACCTGGCAAGAAGTTCTGAAAATTACTTGTTCTTCTGATATACATGCAATATGACATCATTATCTGTTCTATTAGAAAAATCAAAGCAGCAATCCATCTGGCCCTTTTCCCTTGCCAATTCTGGCTACAACCCTGTCTAATGGCCAAGCAAATGCTGAGTCAGCTTAGGTGCCAATTTCACATGAAAACAGCTCAGAGAAATGTGCTTGCATATAAAAAATTATTTTCAAAAGGTAGGCAGATTTCCATCATGTTATTTCTTTTTTGCTTTGTATAAAGCCCAACAATCTGTAACACATATGTTCATATATAAACATATGCTGAAATTTAATGCTTTAACCAATAAAATACAATCTGGTCAGAAGCTGTGTCACCCAACCTGAGGAGATTACAATTTTTGCAAGGCAGAATGACCAGTAAGAAGACTAAAAAATAACTGGATGAGCTAAATTTAAAAAGACCTGGAAGGACATGTAAACACAAACACTATAACAAATCATCCGGCTTTGAACAGCAACAAATGGAAATATTGTGGTAAGTGTAATGTCGCAAGACGGAAGACGTTATGAAGAAGAGAAGAAGCGGTAGCTGAGTTTAACCTGCTCCTATGTTGCTGGTTTCAATCTAGCAAGTCTAAATATTATAGCAGCACCATACTGTATGATAGGCATGTAGATTAGGTAACAATAATATAATAATTTATTAGGAAACTACAATTTTGAAACAGTGGCACACATACATGATAGAGGTGCATCCAAAAGTAAGTTAACACAAAATTTACGACAAACAGAACTACAAACAATATAAAAAGGGTATTGCTAAACCCTGCAAATCCTGCAAATCTCCAAAAACACACTGCAGAGCCAAACCAAAGCACTTGACTGTGATTGCATCATGAACCACAGGATTCAGTCAGCATCTCAACAAAAAAAAAGTCCATGCTCACAAGAACCCACCGCTTGGTCAAAAAGCAGATCCCCTGCAAAAAATACCTGAAAATACAATGCAACCTCGAAAAAAAACAACACTGTAAACCCAATCTATGACCTCTTGATTATATCATGTAGTATGGCATCTCCATAAAAAAATAAATAAATAATTCCATGCCCATAACAACCCACCTTTGGGGTAAAAAGGCCAATTTTTGTTTCAAAAAATTGCTAAATTCCACAAACCTCCTAAAACAAAAGTTGATTAAAGTGATTTAGCAAGGGTTTGGGATTAAAATATATGTGCTGATTACTAACTTCTTCAAGAGATGTTTGTGAATTGCACAGCAAAACCTCATCGTAGGCTGGAAAGCTTCCATTGCCTTCCATGTAAACTGAGAGCACAGTATGCAGTACATTACCTGTAATACAAAGTAAAAATATTGATTTTGAAACTGCCAACCTGATCTCCACTAGAAAGTTTTCTTAATTAAAGTGAAGATATGTTTGATCCTATTGTATAACAACACTTTATCTTTATTTATTTCATACTGTATGTCAATTTAATTTGGACTATTAGAAGAGAAGTCAATATTTTACTTATGTTTTAACAATTGTTTTACTATTATACTATAAGTCTTTCTTTAAAACATTTATATATATAGGAAAAATGAAATAATGTGGTTATTATGTTTCTATAATATTTAGCATAGTTTTGTACCGTTAAAATATAATTTTTAAAAACGAATTTTTATTTTATTGAATTGAAACTTTGTTAATATTTGCAGTAAGTTCAAATAGAAAAAACCTTAATACAGAAGAAAGTGCACCTCTTAGCAGCTGATGATCGTGTCAGGATTCAATATTTCAACATTAATTATGTCATCATCAGGAATGATGACATAATTCCTGATGATGATCTTGGTAGCAATATCTCAGAAAGTCATTTAACATTTTTTGTTTATTAGAACATTTAGTGAGTCGTTCAAATGCACGTATGACATGATATACTCACTAGCTGAGCAAACGATGAGGTTAGGACGCCCTCTTTTAAGCAATTGTGGTAACCTCCTGACAGTGGCTTCGCAATCTAAAATATAAATGAAATATAAAATATAAATTTTTTTTATTATCACACTGATAGAAAAAAGTAAATGATTAAATGATCAATGGTATAGAGTACCACAGTCGTGTCGTCACAACGCCAGGTGGCGCTCTCTGTTAGTTAATGACTTCATAGACTTTCTAGTATAGGCATTTTAAAATTTAATATTTTACCATCAAAATGTACTAAAAACACAAAAGCTCACATTATATTATTTATCGAACACACATTTAATCATCAATTAAAATTTACAAAGAAAAAGTAAGATACAACATCTTAATAATTACATTAGAAATTGGGATCAATGGTTTGTCAGTAAAGAAAATGGCGTCCGGTTGAATACTTTTTGCAACGATAGCAACAGAGTGGTATCACGTTGTATCGTGACAAAACATTGTAGTACTCTACAAGCCCATAGCCAGGATTTTTATAGGGGGGTTCTTTTTAATACTAAAAGGGCACTTGCGAGCGAATCGAGCACCATTGGCTGGGGGCCAGGGTGCTGCCACGGGCCCCCTGTGGGGTCCAGGGGAAAGGGCACGGTGGGGGTCCAGGGGGAAAAGCCCACGGAAGCTCCAGCATTCTAGACAATTACAGGTGTTATTTAATTGAATTGAGAGGCCATACATTTTTAAAAATGTATATATTAAAGAGGTAATTTTTTGAGTTAGGCAAAGATAAAAAAAAAAACAAAAAAAAAACTACTAGTTTAGTACTACAGTACAGGTAAATTAATAAGAGCCTACAGTAGCATGATACAAACTCCAAAGAAACCAGTATGGTTTATTCTTTCTTTTTTTATTGTTTTTAAGAAATAAGAAGAAGTACTGTATGGCTTATAGCATTTTGTATCATACTCAAGACAATCAGTAACATAAAAAGAACCGAGCCAAATTTGTATGGTTGGCAGAGTGTATTATTATATATATACAGGTGAAAGTATCCCCTGCCGGACACCTTCCCGGTATTTCTGAGTCAAGGTTTCGGGGCCTGAATGGTCATACTGCACAATAAAATATTGCATTCACAGTAATATAATATAATGATTTACTAGTATTGTTTGTATGGTTGGTTTAGTGTATTATTATATATACAGGTGTGAAACTATTCCCGCCAGACACCATCCCGGTATTTCTAAATCAAGGTTTTGGTGCCTAAATGCTCATACTGCTCATTAAAATATTGCATCTATAGTAATACAATATATGGTGGCCGACGATCGTATCAGGACGATCGGCGATACAATCTGCTGCTGCTGCCCTGCCCTGTTCCTATTTTGGGCGGGCAGGCCTACACGGTTGTACTGATTAAATAATAATGTTGTAACAGTTGAAAATGCCCTATTTTCATTAATTTTTTTATAGATGATAGGCTCTAGGCTAGGCCCAAGGTGTAGGTTAGCCAGCCTTTGTTGAAAGGGCACTTCACGAAAAGGGGGGTTCGTTGGAACCCAACGAACCCCTGGCTACGGGCTTGCTCTATAGGTCGAGATCAGAAATCACGATGCATAGTAGTACTGTAGGCCAATGTTCTTTTTATTGAGCGTCATGACACTGAAAACAGACAAATTCCTTACAGGGGCCACAGCTCATTTCAGAAAACAGCGCTAAGCAAAAAAAATCATGCTTGGTTGGTCTTATACAGTATATAAATGCCTCTCTTGTTTACACAAATGAGGCACTAGTCGATCATTTTTGGTACTGTAGCTGAGTATTATAAATGGCATGCAATATAAAAGTCATACTGTACATACCAGGTGTGGCTAGATGCTCTAAAAGCCTTCCTAGTGTTTCAACACTAACATAATCAGTAAGGTCAGCAGATTTTGTTGAACTTAAGTATTTTTCCCACACATGTTTCAGCTTATCAATAAGGGTCCTAAACAAAAAAATATTAAATAAAAATATAATTTAGAATCATGTAATGTAATAATCCTGGACGGGTTGCAATATAGAATGAAGTATTTTGGCCATGCTGGATATTCATGCTGGACTGGGTTCCAGTCCCTAAACTTTGTCTTAATCAGTAAAAAAGCTGGAAAATCGATTTTGGCACCAATGGCGTTCCATTTTACCTATTTGCTTGGCGTTTCATAGTATACTTTTAATTCGCTTAAAAAAAGTTTCTCGACATATACTGACGCTGGTGGCGCTTTCTGAAATGTGCTAATACTACGAAAAATCAATAAATTAGAAACTTGTGGCAAGACTATTCATGCATGAATGAATGGCTGATCGTTAAAGCAGTCTGGGGTGGAGTAAGGCAAGAAAAGCCAAGACAGTGGCACTGTTTAACTAGCTTAATAGTGAAAGGCTATTGGTGGAAAACTAAACAATAGCCGAGACTAGGCGTGAGGCTATACAAAAGCCAGTATTCATATTCCAGAGGTCCCAAGTTTGAGAAGAGCTATAGAAATTTACAAACATGCCACAGTGCATCAAGATATTGGATTTTCATGTTCAATCAAACCTTAACCAAAGCATTATATTTCCCACCATTCTGGAAACCATGCCATTGTTTTGGCAGCAAGTCTCACTTTACAATCATATAAGTATTTCCCTGTTTGAACTCTCCGCAGATATTATTCTCCTGATGACGATTTGAAGCAACTCAAATGAAACATAAAGACATTCTCAACAATAAAAACAGTTCTTTTCAAAAATATATGTGTACCGCAAGCATTTAATATAAGATGGAATATATCATAAATTTAAATGACTCACCCTTCAAATCTTTTCATTCCAAGTAGGAGGTCTTTCTTAACACTATCGGTTCCATGTCCACGATTTTGAAGACGGATTTGTTCTTTATACTTCTGTTCACCTATTAAAACATTCTCAATTTGCTCTTTTCTTTCCGTTTCTTCATCATGGTTTTGCACAAGATCTGATAGAGTGCAGCCAACTCTAGTAATAAACCTTTCTACCAAGACATCTAATGTTTCTTTAGAGTAAGGAGACTCGGATATGTATGTCACTGCCGCTTCCACATTCATCAATCCCTTTTCCTCTAGCACTGCCATTGCTTGTTCCTCATCCATCATGTCATCCATCTCATCCCAGAAAGCAGCCATGTGTTCTTTCTCTTCATCAAGAAAGAAGTTTCCCATTTGGTCGTTATTTGTTTCACATGTTTCATCAACGTTTAATTCACTCTCCTTCTCCTTTTCAACCTCAGTAACTGCTTTTCTCAAATCCTGTACTGTACAGTTCGGTTTCACTAGACTTAAAAGAGCATACACCTCAGGACCAATACCCTCCTCACCAAACAATGCCAAAGCACGTTGCAAAATAACAAGCTGCTTAGTAGTATAAACATTCAAGTGGTAGAACTCTTCTCGCATCTCATCAATGTAATCATACCACTGTTTCAGGCTTGCTTTCATGAAATTGATCAATTCCTTCAATATGTCAGTCAGTTTTTCCTTACTGCCAAACAGTGATTCCTGGCCAGTGACACAGAAATCTATATAGACTGGTGTCTTGGTTGATATTTTACAATGTAGTGCAATTTCTAAGTTTGTGAAGAGCACATTTCCAGATCTACACATCTTTTGATAATATTTTTCCAGATCCTGTGTTCCATCGAACACCTGAGAAACATATTAAAAAGTAAAAAAACACATTAAAATAAACAAACATCAAATATATTATCCTTTTCCAAGAATTCATTAATCATTACTTGATTAGAGTGCCCTGTTTTAGATGATCTTAGTGTTAGTATTTATACTGCATGTTTGAAACTTCATGTGAACCAGTCCGCAACCAGGCTCTGTTCCGAGATAAGAAGATTCATCCACGGAACGAGGGCGTACATCGCAGCTCTAATAGCCATATTGAAAATAGTTGCATTTAAATATGAATTTTGGTTTGTCACAATGTGAATGTAGCTTTATAGATGACCATCATTTGATGTACTGTACCCATCCCATTCCATGGAGAATGCAACCCAACAAATTGATTACACAATTAATCACTTTTTTAGTAAACGCAGTGTGTGCCCAGCTTAAGACATGAACCAAACACTGGTTGCCAGTAGTTCCAACTTGTGGGTAAATCGTGTGATGGAGTTCGGTTCTTTTGCCAGGTTTTTTTTGTTCATTTTTTTAGTTCCTTTGGTTAGCATCAGAATGAATGTTTTAAATAGGTGCGTATTTTTTTCTAGTTTTTGTATTTTAAATAGTGCTCTGAAATATGTTAATAAAGCATTAATTCCTACACGATACAAGATACCTTTCACTGCAAAACAAATAAAAATGTCTTGAAATGCATTATTCAGGTATTGTTCATGTGACTCCCATGTTATAGCCCACTGAAAATTAATAGTAAAAATGAAGATAATTCAACAACCTCCACAAAGCGATCAACCTCTGCCTTGGCATCAGTGCACTGGTATGCCTCCCCAGCTATTAGCATCAGCTTACTCTGAAGATCTTTAATTTGTTCAACTGTATAAATCATTTCTTTACCATCTTCTGCAGGAACACGAAGTCTTAAGCTTCCCTAAAAAACAAAACTCAATTCATGTGTACAGCACTAACAAATTTCTATGAAGGATTCTTAATATAAAAAGTTGGAAATGCAGTAAAAAAAATAGTTTTGCTCTAGCCACATTAATTCTTCTATTTTACATACTGTCTATATATATGTGTCATGTACCTCTTTCAGTTTGCCAATTTCATAAATTCCTTCAGCATTAATTCTCTCCACTTGATGTAATGACAACACTTCCACAGACCCATGGGAATCTTTGATGCCTTTCAACCATTCCATTTCACGACTTATACTCTCCTAAAAAGTACAGTAATGTGATCCTCATAATTACATAAAATTAACAGGTCAAAGCAGGTAGACTATTAATGCTTGTAGTATGAATAAACAGTTTGCAGAACAACAAAGAAAAGACACTTCTAAACATAGAGTAGGTAAGATTTTCTTTCTATTAATCTATATCGCTCTGCGGCTCGAAGTAAACGAGGACACTGTTTATTTATGCAGGGCGTAAATAGGCGAACTAGGGCGAGTCCATTATTTTTTTTTCATGCTTGAGTGGTAAGTTCCAAAGGAAACTTGGACATTTATCGGTTTATCCAGGTAAGTATTCACGAAATAGATTTAACAAGTCAAAGCAAGTAGACTGTTAACTTGTATATACAAGTTTGTATAATCTGTTGATGAATAATGAGTGAAATTCCACCACATAAGAATAATGTATGTATGTGTTGGACAGAACTAGCATTTAAGCTGCCTGTGCTAGATGGGTTATTTTAGCCTGAAAGCAAAGAGTATAAAACTGCAAGAGGTCTGACTGCCTGGGGTTTGTTGGAACGCAAAAAAATACTGAAGCGCTGGGTTATGTGGTTGTCTGGATGACTGGAAAAAGCAAAAGTCGAAAAACATTTTTTATTCAAAAAAATTCCTTCGGTGAAATGGGCAATGCTGGTTCTGTGGTCACACACTTTTTCCAGCCCCTGCCAAAGCAGGACATACAGAAACTTACAAGTTTAATTGACAAATCTGGATCATTTTCCAGGGCTTTCCACGTATATCTACAGATCGTCATTAGATGTTTGTAACTCGACCATTCAGTTAGATTGAAAATGAAAGCAGAATAGCCAGTTGCAGCCTGGTGGAGGCAGGAAACTCTGTAAACTTCAATGGGAGTTTCACCAGCTTGGATCATTGCAAGATCCACAAACACTTTTAGTTCGTGCATATCTATAAATCAAACATACATAAAATTAATAACACAAACAATATACCAGCAAAAATTACGTGAAGAGATAAACTCTGAATCGTCTTGCAGTAATGCTTTTAAAATAAAATTTGTAAACAGTAAAGAGGAATCTGCATGTGGAAAAAATGGCCCCAACAGGGATTCAAACCCGGGCCTTTCTGCTTTTTGTTCACCCACTGCAGATATAACATAAACTGTGCCCTCAAATTTTAAGCAAATTATAACTTTTTAGCAAAATGTACTTTTCTCTGTCAGATGAATATAGAAATATCCAGTTGATATTCCATATTTACATTTATACAGCACTTGGAAGCATTTACATTCATTATAATAGGTAGGCATCAGAAACATTTATATTTGGATATACACAACTATAATTTTTTTAAGAATAAAAGCCATCAATTTTTATTTTACATTCCTAATACATACAGTATATATATTGTTATTTAGAAATGCTCATTTTTGCCAAAGAATAAACCAATTTTCAAAGATTACAGTTTACGTTGCTTCTTTTATATTTCTTTTTTGCATCGTACTCCTGATGTACAGACATGGTTACATTTTGAAACCAGAAACTATTGGCCTTTTTATTTCTAATAAAAAAAGACAAATTAAGGATCTACTTTTTTAATATAAGTGTTTTAATTCTATGTTTACGTGTAATATTTTTTAAAATTTCTATCTTAATGTCAATGTTCTTAGCCTTTGTTCTACACTTACAGTATTTTAAATGTACAATTTCTATGTGTTAATGTTTGTAAAAATGGCATTTTCTGCAGATTGTCATTGCTTTATTAAATAATTGTGTTTGTGATAATGCTGAATTTGAAATTTTTCATCATAGTTTTTCTAATCTACAGTCTATTATATTTGAGTCGGTTAAATCTTTATTATATTTAAAATAATTTTAGGCTTTTTACAGATATTCTGTAAGTTTTATGTTTTGTATTTTTATCCTGTATTTGGTGTATACACTGTTGTATGTACAATAAATAAAAGTCATTCTGGAACAAATATAATATTAATTTGTAATTTTAAGTTTCATTTATTAAATTTAGTTTAATTCAAACTCACTTTCAATTTCCCTTTTAATCCAAATAATCAGATCTTTGCAATTTATCAATATTTGTAAACATCTGATCTGTTCCTCTGTGACATTTTTCAACTCCCAACAGGCAACTCCAACATCTTCATTTAGGTCTGTTAGACATTTGTTGTTGAATTCTTCTTTGCTCTACGGAATAAAATAGTACACAATTTAAACTTAGCAATACTTTAAAAAAAAAACCTAACAAAAAGTGTTCTTGAAAAACATTCAATGTGAGAGCCTTTATTTTTGTCTTCCATGAGGTCGAGTAAATGAAGAGCGAAGTAAGTCACAAGAAACTCTCATTCTCTGGGTTATTCAGTTCGTTCAGGAAAATGGAGATTTGATGGAAAATCTTTACATTTACAATAACTGATATACTGTATCTACAATTATACTAAACATTCTCAATATAAAAAAAAAAAAGAACTGACAACTTACTGTCGAATACAGAAGCTCTACAGACCTGAAGTTACCTTTCAGACCAAATTGCTTCTTAATCTCAAGAATAATCTTGGCACTCTGTAAACATTTTTTAAGTTGACGATAGAGGCGCACTTGATCACATCGTTCTTTTATCCAGTCATTTTTGGTGGTATCATCCTCCTCAAACACTCTAAGATTATCCTCTAATTGATCATCCATAATTTTTCCCAGCTTGTTATTGACTCCATATAAAGATATAGAACCACTGACTAGTTGTTCTTTAAGCTGGTCCCATTCACCCTTCACAAACCTCCAAATCTGTGTCTCTACCACTTCTAAGGATATCAAGGAGTCTTTTGAATGCCTATTTAAGACCACATCAGCTCTCTTATTCCAAAATTGTTGAAATATTCCACTATTGTGAATCTTCTCCATTTTCAGAAGCATGTCAGAAACATTGTCTGGCAATTTGAAAAACGTAATGACAGGAACTCTGCTTGGGCAGAAAATTGCAACCTCAACTGGAATTAGTTTGCATAACTTAAGCAACTGCATTTGACTCACATCAGCATTGTGTGCTGTTGTAGTTTCACTGATATCAACAGCTAGTACCTTTGTTCCTGTGTTTGCAGACTCTATATAACAGAAACACAATGTTATACAAACTTTTAAGAGGTTTAGGTGTGTAGTTAAAAAAAATATATAAATTTTTAAGGTACCGTATAAACTTGCATATAAGGTGATCCAAGTATAAGATGACCACCCGAGTTTGAGAAGATTTTTGGATGCTTTTTGTATGTCTGGCGTTTAAGACGACCCATTGTTTCATCATCGGAATTCTCTAATCTGGTCTGGATACTTCATTTGGCTAAAATCTTATTTCCATGCAATAATTACATTCTTTCATACTAGCAGTTAGTAGTTCGCCGACACACAATTCCCCGACAGCCAATTCGATAACAATTTTTGACCAAATTACCTATAGATTCTTTTGACAGATACAGCTTTTGCCGACAGCAACTCATTCACTGACAAAAGGGCATTTTAATTGTCAGTAGGCAATTGGCTGTCAGCAAACTGACTATCAGCGAATTGTCTGTCCGTGTATTGGCAGTCTGTGAGCAAATTGGTCATAACATATCTGTCTGTGAACTGGCATTTGGCAAAACCAATTAGCACCATTGATGACCAGCACTAAAATTACCCTATTATTTTTGTAGTTACAGAATGTCAGAAATGCAGTGTATTAGATGTCTTTTTTATTGAACTTGTACAAATACCATTGCATTTAGGTAAGCCTACATGGTTTAATATCATTTAAATATCATCTAAATAGAAATATTTAGAAACCACTAAATTGATGTGAAACAGCAGTAGTTTAATTGGTATGGGAGAAAATCTTGTGTATCTCTCGATGATTTTCCATGAAAAACATTTTCTTTGCATCTCAGCGCATAAAACAGTTATGAAGCGTAACTCAAATGACACCGCTGCACATTGAAAATTTCAATGATGTCACACCAAATACATAACTGGCAGTTAACAGTGTTTAGACGCTTATCTATTTAGTACCATTATAGGTGTCTAAATAGTCTATACTGCAAAATAACTATACATAATAAGTATACATTGCTCCTCACGAGACAGCTGCCGATCCGGTGAAAAACAATGGTAAAAGTAATTACTTTTCCCTCTAATCTAAAATATGGATTGATATTCACTGTGCATGATCAATAATTTGATGATATATTTTGTTAGAATTTTTCAGACTGGTAAGTTTAACATCCTTGACGGATTGAGTACCTCTGTCTTGCAATGTATCTGTAGGCTTTGGAAGTGTAATTGTAAAATAGATACCATTGATACTTGTGGTCTAGTCTCTGTAATTAGCCATTCATTGACTGGCAGAATTAGGTGGAAAAGGGGGCCTAAATTTTATAGAAATAAATATGAAAAGAACTTACCATGTTGCATTCTACTACAAAATGTGATTAGCATCCCAACACGATGCCGCACATCTTTAAATGCCTGTAATTCTTCTAGTCGACATCGCAGAATTGCCAAAACTATACTATTCCTGTTTGTTTCTTTTTCCAGCAGGCTTGTAATTTGCTGAAGATCTATTACTTCACTAAGTTTCAGAAAATCCTCTTCATGTTGTTGAATAACGCCAAGTTCTTCTACAGTTATTTCACCATTAAACAATCTACTAATAATATCTTCAACCACTGATTTGGCTGTCATTATGTTTGTTTTAGCTTCTGTTCCCAAGAAATTAATGTCTATTTACAAAAAAAGGAAGACTGTTCAATCTTCTTCAATTCTTACTCATGTATTTTTGTCCATATAAAAAACTTTGCGTGAAGTGTTTAAATGTTAAAATGTCTGAGTAAACTATTGGTAACTTGTACAATCTGATATATTCTCACAAAATCATTATGTTTAAAAAAAAATATTTTAAAAAATATAATTGTATTCTATTAAATTAATTATAAAAACATAAATCACATAAAATGTATGAAAAGTGCCATATTAACAAGATTTCCCAAATAAATAACATATTTAATCATTAGTAAAACCCAATTTCAGGACTTCTTAACAGAAATTTGTGATTCCAAAGACAATGAACTATATTCATATACTGTATATTTCATTCATATATTTTAAGCTTCCATTTTCATTGGCCAAATGATAGATAGTAAGTGAGTAAACTGCAGTACATGACTCAAACTGCTGGCTTATTGATTTTCTCAAAATAATCATCTTGTGGCTCTGGATAACGCGGAAACATGGTGACTGGAATATGAGCAGTTAAGGCCAGTGGCGGCTCTAGGATATCATTTTGCTGGGATGGGAAAACTAGGCCTATTTACTAGGCCTATTTTTTTTTTTTTTTTTGGTCTGACTGCCCGACAAACTTTGGCCGATGGGGGGGGGGGGCTTGACCAGACCGATGGGGAGGCTTAACCCCCTGCCCCGCTGGTGCCGCCACTAGTTAAGGCAGGGGCACCACAACATACAGCCACAATATCGTCGCTGGTTCGAACAGCATGCTAGCTTATGGTTCTAGTGATAGAACAAGTCTTCTTGGAAAAAACTATGAACTGTAGGCCCAGTTTACACAATAAAGCTCATGTGCACTTTAAAGAACCCAAGACTTTTAGCTCAGACATGAAGAAACCCTTAAAGGAGAAGCAAGTTACTGTAAAATTAAGCTAGTCCAAACTTCAAGCACTTTGAGACTTCGGTATAAAGCGCCATAGAATGTAACTCTAACTACATTACATTACATATCACATAAGCAAAGTCTAATTGTGAATTAGATTTTAATTGTATAAATGATTTATACTGACCTGCCATTTTCAAGAATCCTGACAAAGGATGCCATGTTAAGCACTTCTTTAAAGTAATTGTTTGATTGCTCAACGATTTATTAATAAATGAAGATAGCAAATGTCCTAGTCTGTTTGAAGAACGCATACCAGCATACAAAAAGCTGAACATGCCAGAGGATGTATGTCGGCTCTGTAATTTCAAGAGTAAAAAAAAGTAACATACACATAACATTATATACTGTATATCATTGATAATGACAATATCTTATATTATAAGTCGATCATCACTGCAACTCCCAATGTTATTTGCCTATCCCTACACAGTCCAAAAATTGTTCACATAGTGAACCCTTGGCTTGATTTTTTTAGGTTCATGTGCAAAAAGAATACCTAATTTTTTCAACACCGCAAAGATATCACGAATAGCGATGAAAATTGAATTGCAATTGAAAATTACTTTCATGAATTGAATTAGAATCTGAAGAAGTTACTTCAAATTCAATATTAAGTATGAACAATTAAGGAATTCCTTGAATCAATGAACCCTAATAAAGTAAACTGAACGTTTAAGAGGAATATTCTAGACCTATTTTAATGACTCAAGGAACGAAATTAGGTGTAGGCCTACGGCCAGGCAGGAGGCCGCAGAGGCCTCCTCCTTCCTACTAGGCCATCCTAGTACAGTTATGAAATCATTGCACGATTTTTACCTGTCTGCACCGACCAAAAAGTCAGTGACTGTATTGTCTCTCGAATGCTTTAAGAAATGTTTTTCTTTGACGAATGTCTATCAAAATAGCATTAAAAACAAGTTCTTCTAACAGAATACAAATTGCAAAAGTTCATTGTATCTGTACTGTACTGCTGATGTGCAGTTAACATGTACTGCAGGAGCACAAAGCTAAATGTAAATACGCACAGTATACTGATCGTGTCACTATAGCAACTAATGACTGCAACAACAGCTGTTTATCAAAACTAACATTAAAAGACGGTGACTGACTTACAAAGCAATTAGTAGAGCATGCATCGTATACTAGCGGAAAATTATTATACTTAGGTTAGATTTAATGCATTCAAAAATAAAAATGTTTTCAAGCATTAAATCTAACATTCATATAATAATTTGCCTATAGAGTACTATGCTCTACTAACTTCTTTACTGCTACTTCTACTGTCACAGTACTGTACTAACAGAACTACTATTATTATTCTTATTATTATTAAAATAATACTTTGTTAGTTCATGGGTTACTTTTAATTGGATTGATGGTCACTTAAACTTTTTTTCTTATTGAGTTTTGGCTTTGTGGATTTTTGTTTTATGTTTGGTACTTGCATTTCTTTGATGGTTTCGTTTTTTTTTTTTTTCATTATCATTAATTAATTGGTCCATGGTTTTTTCTTTAAATGTAAAATGTGAATGCTAAATTTTGTAAAATTGTATCAATTCAACCTTTGGCTGCCATGAACAATTTTTGATGTTTTTATGAATAAATATACTTTGAATAATATTATGTATTTTCAAAAGCTTTTTGGAGTGTCTTCTCCCAACTTAGGATCCCTGAATAACTTATGTCTTACCATCATGACTTGGTCAATAGCATTGAATGCTTTGTCGGTGACTGCTCTGTTGACTGCAGGATGGTAGGGACTGGGATCCTCAATACAGCAATAAAATTGAATAATGTTTTCTGGAGATTCCTTGTTACAAAGAATATAAAAACAACATTAGGCATACATCATTTTTGATCATTGGAAATTATTTAAAAATATAACGTCTTGCAGTCCTTACCATCTCAAATTTTGTTAAAAGAAACTCAGTGAGACTAGAAACCCATGTATCATTCACATTCTTGTTTTCAAATTTTATGTTGAAGAATCCATTCAAGATCTGAAATAAGAAATATATTTAATATTTAAACAATCGAAGTTCAGTATATTCAATGTAGGCATCTGATCTGTACTGCTTGGTAGTAGAGGAGTGTGTAATTACCTCTGAACATGAACAAAAATTGAACTTTATTGTATCAAAAGAAATGTAATAGAAAATTATTCAAACACTGTAGAAATAAAGCAATTTTGATTATTTTTTTTAACTGTATAATAATGAAATTGATTGCTATTTACCCGGCCACCTGAAAAAGTTATATCATGTATATGCAACCTCAGATAATGTATAACTATTTCTGATGCTTGCAGTGTTACAGAAACCAATCTGTCTTGCACTGAGTTCGATTCTATCCCACAATGAACTTCTTCATTTCTTAAAGCTTCAGACAGTAGTTGTGAATAATGCACCACTAATTGGGTATTAGTTCCAGCCTTATTTACCAACACCGGAAGTAAATTCAGAAGAACATCAGTAACATTGGTACTCTGGTCTTTATGCCATTTCTCCTCACACCTAAACAGACAAATTTAAAATAAGAAATTAAAAAACAGTAGCACCTTGGTGTAGTGTTCATAGCACATTATTACCAAATCTTTATCAAATGAATCAAATTAAAGTAGACCATAGGTAAAACTAGAAACTATGTTCAATAAAACATAAACCCAGTCAGAACATCCCTGATAAATTTGAGCTCAATTAGATCATTTTTGTCAGATTGAGAAGTAGTCAATTTTTTTATTAGTGTTTGGACTTACCTTTTGGAAAGACATGAATGATGAAATCACTCAATGTAAAAACTTAATTACTTTTAGGAAACACATAAAAAAATATTATTTGGATAGCTATATGT